GTAATTATCCGCATCACAACATGTCTTTGCATTTAACATGCAGGTTGTTTTTTTAAAAACGTAAATAGGATGAGCTGGAGGTGATAATTACTGCGATCCGCAGAATGTGCAGAGTGGGGAATTTAACAATTTCCTCCCTGGCTCTAGTCCTGGGGAACATCCCTCCTCTGAAGCTGGTATTTAATGGGGCTGGGAAATCCCTCAATGGTCATCAGCATACGTTACATTATGTGGGGGGTGGAGATAAGGGACCCTCGCCCGCCCCTCCACTGCACCCAGAATACCACCAGACACTAAGACTACGAACACACTGGTGTTTTCAAACACAGCAAGGGTGTTCCCTCCCTCCCCCCCATTTCTAGTTGCATTTGCACGTTGCTGCACACGCCAGAGAGAGGGCGGCAATGTCTTCCTCTGATGCACATGACCTGTTTGGTTTACCCACACACCCCTGAACTTGCATCCAAAAAGCTGCTATGTCATCCATGCATGCGCAATGGCTATTTCACTCCACCTTTTGAAGTTTTGCCTTTTGGAGTGAAGTTTTGTTTGAGGGGGAAATGCATCAAACAGCCCTATTTCTCAAGAAACTACGAGGCAGCTCTGTAACGAGAGTAATGGTGCATGTGGTGGGAATGCTTTAACTCTATCTGAACCTGGAGATACCAGGGATCGGACTCTCTGCATGCGAAGCTGATGCTCTGTCACAGAGCTACAGCCTTTCCTGGTAGAGAAGCTGCTCCAAATCCCTGATCATCTCGGTGGCACTTTTCTAGCACCACAATATCGTTTTTAGATGAGGCGAGCAGAAAAGTACACAGCATTCCAAACACAGCCACGCCATTGATTAGTAGCTCCAAAATCAAAAGCTGTTATAGAAAAGTTGGTTTTATTTCTAAGCAGGGATCTAAAGGCGCTTCAGTTTGGGAGGTCCTCCTGTGCCAGCCTGAGCTCACAGAAATCCTCTCAGAAAAGGGCAACCAACATGATCAAGGGGTTGGAGTAACCAAAAGGAAAAATTAAAACATTTGGGGCTTTTTACTTTGGTACAGTGGTACCTCGGGTTACAGACGCTTCAGGTTGCAGACCCTTCAGATTACAGACTCCGCTAACCTGGTAGTACCTCAGGTTAAGAACTTTGCTTCAGGATGAGAACAGAAATCATGCGGTGGCAGCGTGAGGCCCCATTAGCTAAAGTGGTACCTCAGGTTAAGAACAGTTTCAGGTTAAGAACAGACCTCCAGAATGAATTAAGTTCTTAACCCGAGGTACCACTGTAAAGGCAGAAAGGGCATGATAGAGCTGTATAAACTGCAGGGTGTGGAGCAATTGGAGAGAGAGATGATTTTCTCCCTTGTAACACGATAACTCAAGGCCAATCCAATGAAGCTGAATGTTGTAAGATTCGGGACAGACGAAAGAAAGAATTCCAGTGCATAATTAAACTATGGGATTTGCTCCCACAAGATACAGCGATAACCACCAACCTCAGTAGCTTTAAAAAAGGATTAGACAAAGTCATGGCGAATGAATTTGTCGGGCTTTCAGTGACATCCACAATGTTCTCTGCATGCTGGTTGCTGGGAATCCCAAATGCAGAGAGCGCTGATGCACTCAAGTCCTGCTTGTGGGCTTCCCATTGTGGCATCTGGTTGGCCACTGTGAGAACAGGATGCTGGACTAGGTGGGCCTTTGGCCTGATCCAGCAGGCCTCTTCCTTTTGTTCTGAGTTTGCTGAGAAGAAATCTGTGTTAAATGAAAAATGGAGGGTGCTCACCAAGAGCATATTTTTAATCTGTAAACCGCCTTGAGCCCATCAGGGGAAGAAGCAGGGTAAAAATACATACATACATACATACATACATACATACTATACTGACGCTACCTTCCCACAGACCCACCCTGCTGTATACTAGCCCCTTGCCAGAGAACGGCCACCCCAGAGACTTGATGACACATCCCTCGCTACAACCATCGCAACTTCGCTCTGTGCAGCGAACATCTCCCTCTCTGTTGAACCCCGGGGCCTTTTTCATGTAACCGCTGCTTGTCTCCCTGTCCACCTCCTCGACAGAGCGTGAGGGAGCCCCCCGGGGCAGTGACACGCTGCAGTGTGCTTGGAACATGTGGTCTCACTGACTTCATCAAGGTAACAGGCCTGTGAAAGGCCTGTGGCAGCAGCAAGTGCATGTGTGTTTGTGGCGAGGGGAGAACGCGGCTCTGTCTCTTGCTATCAGAAACCAAAATGATCTGACATGCTTCAAGGGGATTTGTCTGGCCTGTCAGGTACCTAGCGGGGTGAATAAAGAGGGGGCAGCATGGTGGGGGATGAAAACGGAATAAAACCTCATATTCCCCGCTGTGGCCACCTGGGGCATGTCTCCTGCACAGATTTTGCCTATTCGGTGGCTCGTCTTAGCACTCACAGGGGTAGGGGTTTTTCTGGCGTTTATTTCACTTCAGCGTGTAGCTCACCCGAGACCCATGGTACAAAACATGCCATATAACGCAAAACTAAAAATCAGCTAAGCACATGCACACAACTGACTGAAATCATATATCCAGTTAAAGCCTAACGTGATACTGTACTGATTTCTTTGGGGTGGTAGCAGCTTTTCACTTCAGCTGCCTACAGTCTTTGAGGGCAGCCCCCCATATATGAGAAAATCCTGCTTAAACAGTAGGCCTGTCGCCAGCGTCTCAATAAGTCGCATTTGTTTTAGTCAACTGATCAACTTAATTCATCGATCCAACAGAGCACTCAGATGTAAACCCTCTAAGTAGGACATAGATGAATGTGTACAGGACTGCAGCCTAATCTGTATAGATTTGCATAATAAGAAAAATGATACTTAATTTTTTTTTCCCCTCATGATGTTTAGTGGTAATTCTGACTTGGAGGCATTCAGTCCTAATCCCTCAGATGGTAGCTTCTTCCCACCGATTCCTCAGCAAAGAACATAGAGCAAATGTCCAAAAATGCGTTTAGGAAGAAAAATGCTAGTACAGTGGTACCTCAGGTTAAGTACTTAATTCGTTCCGGAGGTCCGTACTTAACCTGAAACTGTTCTTAACCTGAAGCACCACGTTAGCTAATGGGGCCTCCTGCTGCTGCCGCGCCGCTAGAGCCCGATTTTTATTCTCATCCTGAAGCAAAGTTCTTAACCTGAAGCACTATTTCTGGGTTAGCGGAGTCTGTAACCTGAAGCGTATGTAACCTGAGGTACCACTGTAGCAGCAACATTTCCAGGCTTTCAGACTAGAGTCTCTCTCAGCCCTATCTGGAGATGCATGAATCTGGGACTTTGTGCTCTGCTATTGACCTCCATCCCTTCTTATGGCTTTTTTCACAGCGAGGCAGATTATGGGTGCAACAACACATCATCAGTAGGGTAAAAAGGGAAAAGGCCACAGCTCAGCAGTAGAGCATCTGCTATGTACACAGAAGGAGCCCATTTCAATCCCCAGCATCTCCACGTAGGGCTGGGAGAACCCCCTTCCTGAAACCCTTGAGAGCTGCTGCCAACCAGTGTGGACAACACTGAGCTCGATTGACCAAGAAACCAACTTGGTATAAGGCAGCAGCTTCCTATAACCCTGAAACGAACCTGCCGCCTCACAACAATACTTTTAAAGAAGAAAAGATATGATGCATGCATGTGTCATTTGCAACAGGCATCGTTTTAGAAGACTTCCTGTTTCTCCCACTGCCAAATGCTGATTTGATTTTGTGTGCGACCAAAGGGCATGTCTACACAGTTGGATACTGAGAACTGGGCAGGCTGAAGAGACAGGGCAGCAAATGGTGTGAGGCGTAATGGTGCCAGATGAAAGTGCACAGAAGTACCCAGGGCAATCCAAGACTGCACGCACACCACACATTTAGGGCACGTTGCAAAGAATCCTGGGAAGTTTGTTAAGGGTGCTGGGAATTGTAGGCCTGTGAAGCGGAAAACTACAGTTCCCCCAGGATTCTCTGTGCTTTAAATGCATGGTGTGTATGCAGCCCAAGCTATTCTGATACCTGAGGCAAAACATCCCACAGGCCCCTCTCATGCTGCTTGGCAGTAAAAATACAGTAAAAAAATGCAGTAAAAATAATCAATTTGCTGCCCCTTTCATTATACCCAAAACCAGCTGCCTGAGTTAGCTGCCTCATTCTGCTTTGTTAGGGCCGGCCCTGCCTATAGAGCCAAGACTGTGACCACTATTGTGCTTAGAATAAAAATAAATAAAACCTAATACTATGTACCAGGAAAGGCTGTATTTTGTTACGTGAGTAAATTTTCAAGAGTGAATTTGCATTCCTGAATGCAATATCACATGCCAAAGACTCTGGGAGCATGCAAGGATAAGGTGTGCTGACTGAAGGGTTAGAGCATTTCTCAGAAGGCTCTGGGGCACTATTAGATTATGTACCTCATCCCACATTTGCTTTACCAAGGATCTCTGGCTTAGGGTACTGCAATATCCTGCACCCAGCCCCAGTCCCATGCACAGGGTCTAACCTGCCCAACCTTGGTCTGTTGAACAGAAATGTCTTGTTATTTTGAAGATTTTCCCCCTTGACCACAATAAACTACTTAATTCTCTCCCCCAACACCCAGCTCAATTGCATTTTGTTCTCTACAGTCTGATGACAGCCATGCAGATTTCCAATCCCCCTCAGCTAGACTGTGTAGGGGTTTTTGTAGTTTGCATTTATAACAGTCTGTTCAGTGCCTGTGAGGATAGAAGTCTCTGTGTGTATGCAAGAAAGAGATGGAGGTTGTTTTGCATATCTGTGAATGATTCTAGCCATCTTATGCATATGTTAAATTTACATTGCATCGTGCACTATGATTCTGCAGGTATTCCTAGGAGTGTGTGTTATTTATTGTCTTTCAGTACGATTGCGTGGATGCGCAAGATTCTGCCCAGTTTCAAGGACTTCCTCCTATTTTTATATACCAACTTTCTGTCCGTCGCAATATGTGATCTTTCCTTAACTTCCTTCCTTCCTGCCTTTCTCTTCCTCGCCTGTGTAGCCATGTGCTGTGTGTGTCCGTGGAAACATGTGTCTGCCTTTGTGCAGTTCACTGTGTGCCTTTGCCTTCATGGAGCAGGTGCCTATCTTTTCCTCTCCATCTGGTTGTAAGTCAGAGTTATTCAAATGAGAAATTAAGAGAGAGGCAGAGAGAACATCCCTTAATTTTCTTGTATAGAAAGGAGTCAGTTCTATTAAGATGCATTATTCAGGGCGGGGGGAGGGGGAGTGGTTTAACTCAAGCTGGTAAAAAGCTGCTCAGCTGGTCGCCTGTGGCGAGTCAGAAGTGCCTTCAAGCGATCAAGGCATCTTACAAAAGCATTTTAAAAAAAAAAATATTCTAGGCCAACTTAGATATATGCAGGCAGGCTAGCTAATTACTTTCGTGGCTGTACATACAAGAGCAATGATAGCCAGATGCAAGTGGGGGGGGGGTGTTGGATTGTTGAAAAATAGTAAGAGATTTACTGGCCTAGATTAGATGAGAAGATGCATACAAGATCATAATCTTGTGATCTTTGTTATCCAGAGTAACTACCAACCACTCATTCCACACTCATTGTCACTAAAACATATTAGAATCTCCACTGTACCCACAAGTATGCTTTAAAAAGTAGGGTGGAAATCATGGTATTGAGCACCAAAGAGTGAGTCTAAGTTGCTAACAAATTCCCAAACAGTGTTAAGTATTTGAGTACAATATATGTTCAGTATACCACACTTCCGTAACACCAGCGTAGAGTTCTCCAACTTGTGTTATTTATTCAGCAACAACACAGAGGAAATGGAATCCTTATCCAACCAGAAACTTCAGATAATAGTCAATCTTTTTTGCACGCTGGAACTGGACTTGTAAGCAGCTTCCATATTAATGTGTGTGTATGTGAATCAGGCCCAGATGATTAAAGGTGCTGAAGATCAGCTGCTAGAACAATTACTCCTAGGGTGCACTTCGTACACAGACACTAGAGCAGCAAATTACTGAAACACACTCATAAAGGGGTATTGATTCAAGGCCAGCAAATGACCCAGAATGCCGGGTCATAGCTTCCCACAATCCTTTGTGGCCAACATGTCCACTATGAGTCAGGTACTATCACAGCTAAGAGTTGCTCTTTAACATTAAAAATACAAGTTAATGGATTACTCTCTAATATTCAATAATTTTTTTAAGATTCAATAGTTTTTAATTAATAATCTTCCTTTTATATTCTTGATCCATTAATTTTAATACATCTCAATATACTGTAGTTGCATTTTTTAGGTTCTGAAGGAAGATAACTAATAATTTAATAAGCAAAAGCTAAAATTCCTTATTAGAATGTAAGACACCTCAAATACCTTCTTTTTCATTCTTTATTACTGCAGAACCAATAGCTTCAAAAAAATAAACAGCAATGCTTTTAACTTGCAGCCATGATGATTAAAATGGACTTTCATTAATTAATCAACTAAAACTTTAGTTGATTAATCTAATCTACTAATTTAATCAATTAAAGTCTGCAGTTTTGCTTTCCAGCTTTTTTGGTTGTTTCTCTACCGAAAGCAAGTCCACAGTAAATCCTACGAATGACTCTCAACATAGCCCTGGAAGGGAAGTCATCTGTTGTCAAAACCAGTTACCCAGGAATCTTTGCTTCCGTCATGGCTGACATTCCACACATGCTGCCAGAAAGAATACGTAATTCTTCACAAATCGAAATCTGGTCACTGAGCGACAGTGGGCAATTGCTCACAGGCCTGTGCCCTGAGATGGTTGTAATGATATAGGAATGTGATGAAACGGGGAATTGCCTAGCATGAATTTAACTCATATATACTGAGGTACCTGGGAAGTGAGGTAGCATTTGCTGTCAGGCAGGCATTATGACTGAACTGGGGCCAATGTCTATGAGCAAACTACCCAGAATGCTGTGCATGATACTGACCATATGACCCACAAGTGTCTGCGGTCAAATTGGCTGTAATGAATGGCCGATTTTTTTCTTTCACACAACATCCACCTGCATGTTGCCAGCATCCAACTGTACTTTTACATCGTCAATACACCTAATATTGGAATGCATGGCTTAAAAAATGGAAGCAGTTACAAAGCATTGTCATGACTCCCTATCTGTTGAGTGCTCAGCTCCAGCCGAAGGGATACTCCCCACCACCCCAGGACCTCAGAGTCCAAGATCCAGAAGTTGCTCAAACCCACAAGACCCCATGATCCACTTCCCTTCCCTAGAGTGTACAGGTATTCACTTCTAAGCCTAAAGGATACATATCTTATACGAAACACCTCTCATCACACCAATGTCTGGCTACGGCAGGCAGCCCCTCATATCTAACCTTCTCCCCACTTCCTTTTCCCCCCCAGTGACGGGTCCTCATTCATCTGACGGGATCCAGGCAGCCTTGCTGTTTCCATGGCAACATTGCCATGGAAACTGCAGAGACCATTCTCTCCTCCCCCTTATCACCATCCTTCCTTCAAAACCACAACCCCCCCCCCTTTCCTGGGGCAATACCACCAGGAAGATTTAAAGAGCAGGGGGCTGGGAGCGAGCGCTGAAATGGTTGTTTAGCATAGCTCATCCTTTGCACCTTGTCCGTGGTGTATGTGTGTGTAATTAAAAGGCATAGCTAAACTCTGTGCATGTTCCATGCCTTCCTCAATTCCTTGGTCTCTGTTAGCAAGCTAGCTCTCTTCTCCTTTCTTTTAAAGCGCCTCATTCTATCATTTTACCGCATCATATCACCCTCTCCCTTCCTCATATACCCTCTCCTATCTAGCCTCAATCTCGCTTTCTCTCTCTCTCTCTTTACCCATCCTTCCTCACACGCACCCTACCAAGCAGACTACCTGGAGTGCCCCCATGTACCTTCTGTTACAATCCCACCCCCACCCCCACCGCCGACTATGAGATTTCACCACCACCAGACACCTGTGAGTGGGCACAGGCCTATCTAGACTCATTGTCTGCTTCCCTGGAACCTGGTGGGGAAGAGGCTGCCATTTCTGTGTGGGTTTTTCACCTCCTGTGTTCATACACACACAAACACACACCACTCTCCCTTTCATCCACACACATTAGCTACACCACATCCCTCAGTATTCAGGCTCAGAAACATATGTACATTTCCACGTAGTTGTGAAGTGCTGCACCTAACCAGCACTTCACACATAAACAAGCTCCTTTCATGTGCATTGTACTTTCATGCATGCGTTTGCAATCCAACCCATATTCACACATACATATATTTGTTCTGTCACACACAGAGAGACTTATGAGCATATACGCCTGATACACACGTGTCCTTACTGGATCTCATGCGTATATAAAGCTAATCCTTACACAAACCAACAAAGCACCCAGAAAAACGCATATTGACGCACAAAGGCACAGTCGTTATTTGCCCCACATGTGCACATCCTCATATGCACATCACAAACTCGCACCCGACACCTGTTTTCTGCTGGATCTGTCCTCTGTCGATCCAGGCAGAAGTGCAGTGCGGCAGCCTGGGATGGGTGCGGGGAGAGGATTGGTAAGAAAAGGAGCGTTGTGGTTAATTTGTGCTGGCTTTGCCAGCCGGTGAAATATCAGAAGAGTCAGCTTATATCATCTTCATTCAGTGTGCATGTAAGAGAGAGAGAGAGATATGAAAGCAGGGCGAGAAAGAAGCAGGCGAGTAATTCTCGTGTATAAATGTGATAGGAATATACATAATCCCACTCAGACAGAAGCAATCAGAAGGGAAGCTGTATGCACGCACACACAGAGTAACGCACTCAGAAGCTGCCACACTCAAGAAGCAGAAGGAAGAAGTGTAATGCACAGTCTATGACTTGATATGCACATACACACAAAGGCACTGTCACATGCCCAGAGCTGCAGCAGTAAAGCGCAAGCACACACACACACACACACACACACACCCCTTACAGAAGCACACAGTTTTCAGCATACAACAGCAGCACACAAAATCCTCCATGTCACACACATACACAGGCTCGGCTCGTAAACCAAAGAAGAGCTGCACCAAAAGAGTCCAAAGCATGTGTGCGCTCATACACAAACTCAACTAAAGGGGCAGAAAACACTGTTCTCACAAGCCAGCAGCATCACAAAACACGCATGCTGCAACAACCATATCCACAGCTAAACTCAGTTGCAAAGTAAGTGTTTCATCACACACACACACACACACACACACACACACACCTTTCTACCACACCACCCTGAGAGCAATGCCATTTTTCATCTGAATTCCAGCACAACCCATTCCACCTGATACTCAAAGCAGGGTGCACTTGCCTGGGGCAGAGAGGGTGGTGAACAAACTACAGAGCACAACAGCTCTTTTACAGCATGGAATGCTTAACTGTCTCCCCACTCCACCCCCCAAAAACCATATTGATAAATTTTAACAACAGATCTGTTCAGATTTCACAGATGTGGTACATGCTGTAAAATTCTGAGCCCAAAATGTCTATTTTCAAAACACACACACACATGCGCATAATCCTAAATCTTTGGGGGGAAGCCTGAAAGTCTTCCCCCCATATATAACTTCCCCCCATATATAACTATATATATAATATACATGCACATACTCTTTCATAAGATGCTTCTTGTTTTTTTATCCATCCTCACTAGCACTTGCCAGCACCACCTTCTGGAGTCTCATTAGCTTCATCTGGAACACCCAGCCCAGGTAACTCAAATATACAGCTTGCCTCATAGCAAGTTGCATAAATCCACTGCTTACCTTGATCTGTTTTAAAAAATCCCATACAAAATACTTCCCTTGTTGATGCTGATCTTTTAAAAAAATTGCTGCAAGACGTCAGTGGCAAAATCTTTTTTTCTGTTTGTGAAGGGAGCACCTGAAAGTCCAGATGTTCTTCTCCACCTTCAGTAAGGAAATATTTAATTTTCCTTCATAGAAAAAAAAAACACCCCACCTCAAAAAGTGGGTACTTTCTATTAAAAAATAGAATTCCACTCTGGGAAAGGAAACGCAATGGATGAATTAGATATGATGCTTGAGGAATTCCATTGGCTGGCTGGCAAGCAGGGAGCTGTTTTGATTGGCGGAGGAGATGAACTCGGTGGATGACTACAGCCCCTCACCCAAACCTGTGCCCCTCCCTCCAAACTGCTTTCAAGTCCCAGAAGAGTGAAGAGGGTGAGTGGGAAGAGCTTTCATTAACAAAAAGAGCGAGCATCCAGCGCCAAGAAGGGGCAAGAGAGTGGGATGCAGGAGCATGCGATTGGACTGGAAAGGCTGTCAATCAAAGACACTACTTCATCCACTTCTCTCTTTCTGACTCTCTCTCTCTCTCTTTTTGCTTTAGAAAAGGAGGGGCAAAGTTTGTGCAGTGCCTCCTAGTTGCTGTCCCGTTCAATACACTTGACTCCAGGGCGCTTTGCTCAAGGAACCTAGGAGTCCTTCTGGCTGACAGACCTCACTGCCCTGCGCTTCCTAAAGTAACCCAGGAGTCGTAACTCTGCTCCAGTAGGAGGAAGAGACTAAGCTGCTCATCATATTTTTGTACATGCAGGAATTATAGAGGGAGGACAGCAGGGCTGTCTCCCTTTCCTTTTGTGATCCCCACCCCCAAAGCTCCTGTTTTTAAGCAGGTACAAGAAGAGAGAGCAGGATGCATGGGCGTAGCCAGGATTTGGGGGGCAGGGCTTTGTTAGGGGGGCAGAACCGATGTGATTGGTCAGTTAGTTAAGTATTTCTATTGTTTTACTTGAGGTGGGGCAGCTGCCCATGGCATGATATGGGAGAGCAAGGGCTGAGTTTTATCATAATGGTGGCGCTGTGGGTTAAACCACAGAGCCTAGGACTTGCTGATCAGAAGGTCGGCGGTTCAAATCCCCGCAACGGGGTGAGCTCCTGTTGCTCGGTTCCAGCTCCTGCCCACCTAGCAGTTCAAAAGCACGTCAAAGTGCAAGTAGATAAATAGGTACCGCTCCGGTGGGAAGGTAAACGGCGTTTCCGTGCGCTGCTCTGGTTCGCCAGAAACGGCTTAGTCATGCTGGCCACATGACCCGGAAGCTGTCTGCGGACAAACGCCGGCTCCCTCGGCCCATAGAGCGAGATGAGCGCCGCAACCCCAGAGTCGGTCACGACTGGACCTAATGGTCAGGGGTACCTTTACATTTACCTTTACCTATGCCCCACTCTGTCCTGCTGTTCCTCGTTACCCTCAAACAGTTCTAGCTTTAAGAGGGATGCTGTGCTGGACCACACTGCTTGCCACAGGGTCTGGTATGGGCTCTTTGCACAGCTGCCTACTTGCTAATGCAAAGGTGGGCAGCCCTTTCCTCTGCAGATGTTGCAGAACCACATCCCTGAACATGCTGGCTGGGGCCCATTGAATCACACCTTGAGAGCTATAGGCATGGGTGTCCGCACAAATGTTTCCTGGGGTGGGGAGTAAAGCACAGAAAGGGGGAGCCGGCTAATTTCCCACAAAAAAAGAGAAAAATAGTGCCTGTACATTTTGCCTTATATCTCAGGTTCTCCAAATACTAAACAAAAAATATCTCTCGTCTTTACATGAAAGTGGGGTACCTGGAGATTATTTATTGAATATACAACCCTTCATCCAAAGATCACTGGGCGGTTCACAACATAAACATACAAAATGAAAACACTAATGAGTAACGAAACCTAAACTAAACAAAGCCCTCTGCTCTCCCACAGACACTTTTAAATGGCCACAGAATATTAATCAGCTAAATGCTTGGTTGAATAGGAATGTTTTCACCTGGCACCTAAAGATATGTAATGAAGGTGCCAGG